TATATATATATGTAATATATATATATATATATATATATATATATATATATATATATATATATATATATATATATATATATATATATATATATATATATATATATATATATATATATATATATATATATATATTATATATATATACATATCTATCTATGTAACCATTCATCCGTCTATCTGCCTATCCATTCATGTATCTATCGATCTATCTGTACACGCAGTCTCACGACTTCAAAGATAACACTGCGAGGAAAGCTCCACGAAAAGCTCCCAGTTGAAGTCGTAGCGGCTTTTCGCTCGAGTGTAGCGGAGAGCGCTAGACGGCTATTTCCATTCACATCTTAGGGAATCTGGCTTAAAGGCGGGAGGCGTAATGGAGGACTTCAAAGTATCAATTACAGGAGAGGAAATAGATTTGTAAAGAAAAAAAAAGGAATTTTAGAGAAAAAGCGTGTGTGTTATTCGTTATTTTCCAAAATTCTAAAATTCGTTTTACCTGGTAGGTTTCCTTTTTTGTCTTGCGTTTAATAACAGCAAAGTATTCTAACAAGTTACCAAAAAATAACGTAACTAAAAAATCCCTTTAAACTGATTCCTTCCTTCTATAAAAACAAGTTTGGGAAACTAAAATTTCTGGTGTTATTTCGCACAGTTGGAGATGCTGTCCAATAAAAAATATCATAATAATAAAAGAGTAAACAGGTAAACAGAAGTATCAGCAAGTAAGCAACTGATTGGAAGAGAACCTGTGATGCAACGGAAACTAATCTTAAGCCGCGAAGGAATCGATTTAATTCAACTTCCATTTAGTATCATTTCATTATCTCCGCTAAAGAGGTAATGTTTTTGGTGCGGTAGTTATTTAGTTTGTTTGTTAGTTGGTTAGCAGGAGAACTCAAAAAATGATTGTAAATGATAGCAATAGTTACCCCTACTACCAAGGCAATAGGGGTAACTATTACCGTTATTATTACCTTTATTACCTCTTTTACTTTTATTGAATCAGTGATCCTATTGCCTTGATCATAAAAAAATGTCATTAATACAATTACTGGGCATTTTTATCATTCGAAGTTTGAAATTATGTAATAAAGAGGTCATGCTTTTATCCGCCACCAGATGGCTCTCTCCTCTTCATGATCTCTGTCACGTGCATCCGATCCGCTCCTCCTCCTCTCGAGCCGTCAGAATTGGCCTAATGAGGTCTTCCTCGTATACAATCGCTCAAGCAAGCATTCGCACATATACATACTAAGAAATACTTGTACACATTTACACACGGACATACGCTTACTCAGTCACTTGCACACACATACACACGCACGTACAAACAAACACAAACACACACACACACGTACAAACAAACAAAAACACACACACAAACATACACGCATACACACACAAACACACACGTACCCCCCCCCCTGACCCTCTCATGTGCAATGCCTTCCTCCGCTTTGTCTATTCGGGGAGCAAGATGGCGCTCGAGATCGCTCAAGCCATTTCTGAAATTAGCCGAGTGCTTCTTGCCTTTCTTGCTTCTTCCCTCTTTGTCATCGGGGGAACAACAAGGAGACGAGGAAGAGAAAGGAGATTACCCGATTGTGAGTTATTCAACATCATTCTCTTCCTTATCAAGATGGAAATTCATATTCTAATACACTTAGCAATGCCGTCTATAATGCTGCTTTCCTCACACCACCAGTCATGATCCTCGCACTTTATCATACTTGCGTATTTATTCATTTATCACTATTCATCCTCTTCTTTCCCTTTGTTTCAGGGTTGCAAAATTACACCGTCCTTACGTGGCCGCTTTGTTAAAACGGTAAGAGAAATGACCCAATGAATATTCATATATACGGACGCATATACACAGAAATATATGCATATCTGTCTATCTATCTGATAGATATACATTTATCTATCTATCTCGGTAGAAATGCATGTCTGATAGATATGCCGTATTTCCTAGTATATGCATGTGTAGGACTAGCATATACTAGGAAGGGTCTAGGAGGATCTTCCTTGCCTGTCTCGTGTTACTCTTTCCCAGCTGAATATAAAGGTACTGTCACACTAGCAATTTTTCCGTATTTTTTTTTTTTTTTTTGAAAAATTTCGGTAATTTTGTCAATTTTTGAGCGAATTATCGATTCTCCAGTCAGACGATAATGATCGTTTCCGTCTGAAGACCTTTCCGTCAATTTTTTCAGCTAAGCAAAGTCAAATCAAGAGCTATATTGTATTTATGTTAAATAAAATTGTCAAAAAATTGATGGAAAAAGTGCTAGTGTGACACGGCCTTAACAAAGGCTGCGGCTCCATCCACTGTCTCCCAACACAGGTCAGGATCGTGTAAGATTCCAAACGAACACGTTTCTGTTATTCATCCTTTTCCTCACTGGTTCAAGTCTCTTTTTCTTAATCTCTTCTCCGTGGGTCTCCTTCTTCTTCTTCTTCTTTTTCAACTTCATCTTCTTTGTCTTCAGAATTCGTT